CCTCTGATCTACTATTCTATTCCCCTGGGAGTCTTCGATGCCAACATTTTGAATCCCATGATTCTCTTTCCATCCTAGTTCTTTTGTCTTCATGTACATCAAATCATAACGTCCTGTTCTTTGAAATTCCATAATCTCATTACATATCTTCTCAAGATATTCCTTTTTGGCCCTGTCCGTGGCTCTTTTCAATTCATTCCTCAGTCTCCTGTATTTCCTCCTGCCTTCTTCATTGTTGACATTCTTCCATTTCCTTCGCTCCTCCATTTTACTCATCATCTCCTGTGTAACCCATGGTTTTCTTGCTATCTTCTCAACTTTACCTACCAAATCACTGATAGTATCTAACATGCATTCTTTTATATTGTTCCACTGCGCTTCAGCATTTCCGCTTTCACCTTCAAAATATATAGGAAGGAAAAAGGTGGTAGGATGGATTATTATGCTGACAGAAAGCATCTCCCATGTCAGATTTTATAACAAGTGTCTAAGGAACTGAAATACTCAATTGGATAGGACAGATTCAGTGTGCTCAAAAGATCTTATTGATATAGTGATTGTACAAGGAGAATTATACCACATTCACCATAGGTTATGGCAATATTAAGCACAAAATGGGACACATCCAACAGATGAAGTACAAAAAATATCTCAAATCTCTTATGCCTGCAAGAGCAAATTAAATGAAATGTATAGTGAATTAACAGTTCTTTCAGTTGCCAGTCACAGTGGCTGTGTGGACAAAGGCATGAACTGTCTTCACCTGCTCAAACAATGAGATCGTGGGTTCAAATCCCACTTGAGGCATAGATATTTGTATGTGTTTATTCTGTGTCTGTGCTGTCCTGTGTGCAGGTGGTGGCCATACAGGCTGATCCGCCGTCCAAGGAGTCCTACTGACTGTGTAAAAAGATAAAGAAACTGAAAAAGGCCTGTAGAGCCATAGGTAGGTAGGTGGGTTATGATGAAATACCAATCAGAACTTGCACAGTTTACATTAGTGTTCATTTACAATATCTCTGATAACAATCATTCCAGAAAATTTCTTGGAATTATTTAAATATTCAAAAGTGAAGCCTTTGCAGAAGAGGGCGAAAAATCTTGTATTTCCAGTTACAGACCAGTATCTTTACTGATGGCATTCTTTAAAATATTGTGATGTGTATACCCATTGCTAGGCAACGGGTCAGTAAACACATCCCCACGAAGCAACGCGCCCCACAATAGAGCATCCATTGCTAGGCAATGGAGCTGTAAACATGCACTCTTGACAACAGAAGACTGTGTCTTCCTTTGGATCCGAGCTGAAGATTTATATGAGGGCACCGTCAGATGGGACAGTATAGAACAGTAGTCATGAGTAGTCGAGTCAAGCCTTTGGAACTGGCAGCTTCAGAATGGTGGTTAGAAAGGAATTAAACTGGGCCAAGAAGACTTCATATGTGAGTTGAAGTTACAGTGAGACTGTGACAAATCCATCTATAGTCACTGCTACACATGACAATATTTAAGAAAATTATGTATAAGAGAGTAATTTTGTAAACTCATTATCCTTGCAGAAGAATGATTTGGATTTGGAAGAGATATATCTTTGGATGAAACCTTGTACAAATTTAATAGGAGAAACTCTATGTGCATGTAATAATAAAATACATATTGATGGAATGTTTTGAGACTTTTATAAAGCATTTGTTTATATAAATCATGAATTATTACTATCAAAACTAAAATGTTATAATTTGACAGTGGTTTAAGGCAGAAAAAGATAACTAAAATCTGCAATTTCAAATCATAACATATTCAAATTTGGGTATTGCAAACCATGGAGCTATTCAAGGTTCAATACTTGGCCCTGTGTTTTCACTCTGACTTGCCCATCTAAATCCAAAGCTATACCAAAATTAAGTCTTCTTGGGGAGTACAGAGCAAGTATCCAGCATTTCAGAGGCTGTTTCCATCAGTCATTAAGGTTTGATGCGACAAGTGTCAGACCTGTAAGTTCAAAGATAATGTCTAAAATATTGGATACTATTCAATACTGACAAGGCTGATTGTCCACGAAGACTTTATTGCATACAACCACCAAGAAAGCTTCACATGTTACATGAAACTGTACTTTTCAATGATATAAAAATAATTACATGAATGATATTTACACTGTGTTAATTGTTTAAAGCCAGTAAACTTACATTAAATTCTGATGAGAAAAAATCATGAAATTTGTTACAATACTAAAATAACATTTTAATATAGGATGTGATAAAACAACTGGTGTAAATAGGTAAAATTGTCCCTGTGCTAAACTAATTAAGCACTATGCCATGAAGGCATATGGGGGAGTAGATGTATAAGTACACATTTTCTTGATCTTGGCACTAGCTGGTCAGCTTCATGCCCCAACCGTTTTACCCCTGGGGGAAAAAAAGGTTGGGTGGACACCACAGCTGGTCTGGATAACGTGGAGAAGAGAAAATTCTTGACCTCACTGGGACTCAAACCCCAACCTCTTGGTCGGCTGGCCCATAGCCAGTCGCTATACTGACTATGCTATCTGGGCTCCTAAAACAACTGGTGTAGGAACAACTAAATTCCTTGACCTACAAACAGTAACCGAAACTGGAAAACATATTGAATATATTATTTCTAAAGCAAGCATGATTTGCTGTGAGGACAATCACATCACCCATGGAAGTAGATACCTTGAAATTAATTTACCTTGCCCATTTCCACCCCATCATGTCCTATGGTGTAATCAACAAATAGCAAGTGCTAACTTCACTGGGTATCATAAAGGAGAGACTATACAGGAATGAAGTTATTCAGAAATCTACCATTAAAATGCATTTAAGACAGCATTGAAAGGTTATGGCTTTTTCTCACTCCTACTTAGTTAACTAATTCCCTTCAACAAAAACATCTGAAATGTTAGAATTTTTTATGAATATATTACACTGGTTACAGAATAAAGAAGTAAAGTGGATTTCCATGTAAATATTTATTTACACCATAAGTTCGCTTTGTATAACATAATACCATAAAAGACGATATTTGTAATTATCTACTGTCCTTATATTTGCATAAGTATTATGACATATGGTACGTCCTTCCCTTAGTCCTATGAAGGGTATATGGATTGTAAATACATTCAAATTCTAGGGAATTCGTGTGCCGAGGTTTAATTCAGTTGTTCTGGATCTTATATTTACGTTTTCTGGTTATTTACCTAATAAAGTTGGTCCCCGTTTGACGCACAACTTATCACAACAATGTGACGAGCGGTGGCATATTGTACGGCAATGCAGGGCACGGTAAAAAATTATATTACAGCTTTTCTCAAAGACATGGATATTTACACCTTTTCTCGTAAGAAGTTTCCGTGGGTCTGGTAGTGGAGTATGTCAGGAAAGAATCCACATATTTACATTCAAGGTTATTGTAATTGAAGCATGACCTACTCTGATGTGTTGCTAGTGTTTCATTATCGTTTGGCGAGGCCTTCAACACACAGTCTTTCAAATGTTTCTGTGTTGCTACAAATCTGTTTCTAGGCAATGAGTTTCAACCGTTTATGGCGGCTGACGTGGAACGTAAAGTGCCTAAGAATAAGTTTTGCGTTTATAATATTAAAATAGTATGGTGTATGTAGTTTGTATGACGTTCATAATTTTCTTACACTGTGTTCCTTATAACTGGAATATATTGTTTAATATACCAAGATTACATGGCGTTTATACATTATTTCTTAATATTGTAAACATTACGCTAGACAACATTCATTTTTTAATTTTATTTAAGGGCAATGCACTGTGGGTACGAATTGAGTTTGGCGCATGCGCAATTCAGTTTACAGTTAGATCTCGTCAGAAAATGGCGTCGGCTAAGTTTCTGGAGGAAGCTCTCAGTACAGACGTCGATGAATCAGCAGTCAATGCAATAGTGGGATCCTTGGAAACCCAGTTAGTTACCACAACACCTGCAGTTTCCAGCCAGCAAGTACCATCAGCTACAGTCAATCAAAATCATATGAACAGTGCAATAGCTAATGGGGGCACGGTCTCCACACAGAAACATGGTGTGACGAACGGTGGTTCAGGATCCATGAATATTCTTTTAAACTCAGATACAAACAAAACCAATACTACTAGTACACTTCAAAGTGGTAATGTTGTACATTCTAATGTTGTAAATACAGTTGTTGCGTCTTTGCATGGTGGAGTTCCTGCTAGTGGATATATAAACCAAGTAACTTCCAGTGCAAGCCAGTCAAATCTCACAAATCTAACGAAGTCACATGAAGCCGTCAAATTAGTTTATCCCTCAGGCAGCCAGACTTTGACTACTACCGGAGGAGTAAATATAAACAGTAGAGTTGCCTTTCCAACCGGAGCACTCCCAAATGGCAATTTGAGTCTCGCTCCACTTCCATCACATGCTGTTTTAAATGCAGTAACTTCGAGTGTTCAGAGTGTAGTTTCTCAGACCCATTCACAAGCTGGAAGTAATGTAACTAAACAGATTGGAGGTGTTATTGGCATTGAACATGGGAAACCATCTGGAACAGCTTTAGTGATAAAGACTTCGGTTGGTAATCCAAATGTTACCCAAGGAACCCCCCTAGGTGCAGGTGTAGTGTCTGTTCCAATGACTGTAAATACTACAATGACATTGACAGGGACACATGTGAACACAGCTGTCGGTACGACGACAACATCAGGAATGTCTGGAGTTGTGACATTAGCGAAACCTATTACACATACTGTTGGAGCTCCACAAACAATAGTAGGAAACCCCTCTACAACCATACTGCCAGCCAATGTACAGATCGTCAATGTGAATGCTGTGAGGCCAGCTACACCTGGTCAACAAGGACAGAAGGGACTACCACCCAGGGTTGTAATTGGGACTCCACATATGGTTGGTGCACGCCCTGGACAACCCGGAGTAAGTTTACTGTATGTCCTCTTATTAATTTAAACATTATCAATTAATATTAAGTTTTTTCAGCAAAATTGGTGAATGTCAGTTTGTAGGTTATGAAGTATTGTTCATAATGATGGTTTATATTTTACAGCTTCTAGTTCTTGTTATGCAGATGGAATATTACATTTTCCCAAATCAATATGCCTTAATTATACACCATTTGTCATTAGGGTGACAAATTATATTGTTTGACATTTCACAGTATATGAAGTCAAGTGACAGTTCTGTTTTAACCTTAAATCTTTTATGACAACACAATGTCATGGGTTTATGTCACATTGTAGTTGATAGCACAATGAGTGTAAGTCACATCCTAAAATTGTTAAGTGACTTGCTGCTTTTGGAAGAGGGGGCGTGACATTGATTTGCCACTGTGTTTGTACAGATGCTAAGCAACATTCTGATTCTTATGAGTGAAACTGTGCAAGATTTAATTCTGCTTGTTAGCACCAATGTCATAGTGTAGTGACTTTCATGTTTCACCATTATTCATTGACTTGTGTTGTAACAGATTGGCCATTCTGGGAAACATTAGTTATAAATGTTATAATAAATTGTCTCTTTGGATGGGTATCATAGACCATCTTAATCAGTAATGATTATTAGGTTAAGTGATTTGAACGAAGTTTAGAATTAGGGCAATGCATTACAGGACACACACTTAATGAAATTTTTTGTGTGTTCTGTTGCTTTTAAAATATTACGGTTACATAATTACCAATATAATGAGCATACTGTAGACTGTGAATGTGTTTCTGTATTTTTGTTAGCTTAATAGCGACATGTACAGTTTCACGTTATGTTTCATAGATCTCAAGGTTGTGATGCCATGTGTATCAGCCTTTGGGATGCAAATGAACTTCAGTCAGAGGACACAAAAATATTGTTCCCCTTTTGATGTTACATTTTTTATTTGTTTTTAAATGTTTTTCCATCTGTTTATGTCATTTCATGTTGGGCATTAAATGAGTTGGCGGTTTTTAGCCAACGTTTTTTTTTGGGGGGGGGGCTGGCACGAGAGTGATTTCGTAAGGGTTGAGAAATGACATCGCAGTGTTACAGTGTCTTTTCCGTTTTCTGTTTCCTCTCTTCTCCCTTTCTTCTGTCTTTTTTGTGTCGTAGTGTAGGAATGTTTTCATTTACCTGATGAGAGGACACAGTGTGAGAGTTTAAATAGCTTTCATGTATATGATCGTGTTTTGTATTATGGGGTAATATGAAAGGTACTGTAAATCACAGTCCACGCCACATACAGGCATAGTGAATAACACACTTTGGTTTCACCCTTTTTTGCATGCTCATTTGCTTGTGAGTTATGCAGGATAGTTCATACTGTATTTAGTAGTAGTTTCTCTCGAAGCTTAGAGCCAACACGTACAGCTTCCATCAGAAAGTTGCCTCCCGTATTTTTATCTTTTTACATTCGGCATTCAGAAGGTGAAATTAAGAGGAATAGTTCTGCATAGTCTGATGTTCGTGTCAGAGTGGTCTTCTGTAAATCAAACACCATTTTAGTAATTGTCCTGATAAAATATGGTAGGATATCTGTTATGAGCCAATGTTGCCTAGTATTATGTCGGTGTCATGTACCTGGTTGCAGAACACTGCCATACTTTCTTGTTGATCATGTCGTTTTTTTATATTAATGATTACCTGCATAAAGTATGAGTCATAAAACATCCCAGGTTTGCAAATTGTGGTTGTCTTGGAATGTGAATTTGACTATTGAATTGACAATAAAGGTTGAAATAGAGGGATGATGGCTGCTTTTAGAAAATCCTGGCTGGTATGAGTCATCTGACGGTTGTAAAAAGTCTTCTTCGTAGTCTTCTGATGGACTTGATCAGTTACAAATCGATATCACATTTGCTTCCATTCACAATATGCTACATTTTCTCTCCTGCTAGTGCTCCTAACATCTTTTCACTCGTATGATTGTACTGTGGTGGAACCCATGAACCCAAGGAAAAGTGATATTTTGCTCGAGAAATCAATTATGGCCTCATGCAAATATTATCTCTCACATGTAAGCTACCGTGTTATCATAGCATAGACAGAGCAAAATGAGTCATAAATCATTGAATCATTATCAGTTCACAGTGACAATATTAAGGGGGCACGCGGTAGCATATTTGGTTGAGGGGCTATGCTACAAGCCGGAAGGTCGTGGGTCCAAGTCCCAATGAGGTCATTGGATTTTTTTCAATTGAACTGATCCTTCCAGTCACACTATGGCCCTGGGGTCGACTCAGCCCCTAACAGAAATGAGTACCAGGAATTAATTAAATAATTTTCCCAGGGAGTAAAGCGTGGCCTGCACATAAGGCTGAAAACCTTACCGCCATCTTTGAGCCGATTGTCTAAATAATGTGGGACCCTCAATGTCTCACAGCCCTATGGGCCTCCACGGCCTGCTACAGGGGTAGCTTTACTTTACTTAGTGGCGATATTAAAGCTTTGTTATGAACCAGAATAAGTCAAATTTGGAAGTGAATGTGTTTAACACTGCTGGAGATAGCAGTTCATGTTTATACTGAAGACTGAAACACTTGGGAACTTCAGTCTCTTAGTACATATTACCAAGCTGTATATCTCACAATGTATGTGATGTCATAAGCAAGGGATGAAAAAAAGAGTAATTATTTTCTGGCATGTTGCTATGGCTGTTGCCTCCAATGAGGACATAAGATCTATTTCTGCTTGTTATACTGTTGTCCTAAATACTCACGGGAAAGTTATAAGGTAGGGACAAGGAAAATGATTTTAAAAGAAATTTTATGACTTACAAGTTATACTGATCGTATCTTTGGGAATAGTTTGCCATTTTCTCTGTGCCATAAGTGGCCAAGTGAGATTACCAGAACTTAAAAAATGTTAAGTGAAAAATTAGTCAACAGCCACATTTATTTGGTTGTCACTGGCAGCCAGGCAACCATTTTTTTTTTCGTTTCTGTTCATTCAAACCACACAGTTCAGAAACAGTGCCGTGAAAATAGTCACCCTGTGAAGGTGTGGCTGGTAGTAGAAGTTCATGGATGAAGGGTTAAGATGATGGTACTGTTCTGAAAAGGGTATGTAAAATGTGTGTAGGAATGAAAATAATCGTATTCAGCATGCTTGACCAGTCAACATTGTTTGATCCACCAGAAGTTCCAGTTTCTATGATAAAATAACAAAAAATCTTGGATTCATATATGACTGTGCATGCCTACAGAACATATTGCTGAAGTTCTCTAGGCTGCTGTGTGTTGCATTGTTTTGTAGCACCTCAGTCCTATTGAACTGTCAGTGGTTTTGTCCAGTTCTGAGAGGAGATCTACTGTGTGATATGCTTGGCTCAGTGTGTGCTTATTTTGTGAAGATATTTGTGTCCATAAGAAGATTTGAGATATATTTTTAGAAGTTGATCTAGGCTTCACAAGCATTATGAAACAGTAATCTGACCCATGTAGGAAAAATGACATTTCTGTAGAAATACCTCTGTTGTCAATGCAATCAGGCCAGCTATCGTCTGTAAAATAATCAAAGTCAAAGCTATAGCAAGTGATCAGTACCTATGAGGAATTAGAGGAAAGTTAGTTGCAAATGATTCAGAAAGGTTATTAACATTCAGGATTTGATTTAGGAAGGCATGCAGAATAGCAGGTATATGAGAGAAAATTTTGTAGACAGTTTGGATTGCAAGGTACAACAAAATCTATGAAAACGTAGGCACCTAGAATCGCTTCTCAGCAAAGAACATCCTCAAACGGCTGTCAGAGAGACAAACATATGCGCTTAGCAGTTTTGCTGGGGCTGTGAATGTTTGAATTGTCAGCTATTACTGAAGGGAAGCCAGTGACGAAGGAATAAATTTGTGTTTTAGTCATTTATTTGAAGAACTGTGCTTGCTACTTTCTTGATGCGTGTTTCTTGTTTGACTTTTTCTTCAAACCTGATGATGGAGGCGACATATTCCTCTGAAATGTCAGTTGCCATCTTCTTAAACACATCGTTATAAGTGGGGGCTTACATTCCCAAATGACCAAAAATAATAGATATTACCAATTTTATAGCCTGAAATGAAATATGCTAGGATTAGAAACATAATTGATTATGCCATAGCCATCGGAGACCATATTGTCACGAGTTAGTGATTAGACACAGGGCTTGGATTGATAATTGGATTTATTGGATGCTTATAGCTCATAGCTACAATTGTTTATAACAGCCTTACTAATTTACGTACTGTATAAATCAGACAACTACAACACGTACAAAGTCTTCTGTTATTATTTCATCACTGATCGTTGCTGTGTATGGCTGCTAACAATGGAGATTCCTCAGGCCAACCACAAGCTGCATGGCATAAGCGAATTCAAGAACCACTGTTTAAATCAGTTGTAAATATTTCTCAACTGACCCTCTTTCTTGGCTTTTGAAATTCCAGTGCCCTTCTCGACATGCACATCCCAGAAGCTCAGAAAATTGTCTCTTCTGGTTGTAAGCGCTCAACCAAGTTTCATGGAAATACCTGTAGGTAATTGATATAGAAGTTATTAGAGGCATAGGCACAGGTAACACATGGACTTCATGATACTGTACTCTCATATCTTTATTTGTAAAATAAGGGAAGTAAGCTAAGAAACAAATTCAACTTACTACTTCACCACAATTCTAACTGCTTACTCCATGGAATAGAATTCTTCCTAAGAAGCTGGTAATCCATCTATCCAGGAAATTCCCTGCTTTTTATGTAGCCCAAAGGTTCACTGCCATGATCAGAAGAGGTTGCTGTTGGTCTCTTTCTCTCTTTCCAAATGAACCAGTTTCACAGCCTCCCATTCTATGTCTTTCATATCCATTGTAATATTATACTTCCATCTTTGCTTAAATCTGTGAATGGTTTTTATTTAGGAGTTCCAACCAAAAATTGATATACATTTCTTATACCTCCTATGCGCATTACATGCCCCACCCATATCATCCTCAATTAATCATTCTAATATATGATGAGTACAAATTATGAAGTTTCTTATTGTTCAGTTTTCTCCAGCTGCCTATTGCTCTAAATATTCTGAGCACATTGTTCTCAAATTTCTTCAATATATGTCCCTCTCCAAATGTGAGAAGCCAAGTTTTGCGCCTAGACAAATCAACATGTAAAATTATAATTTACATATTTTAATTTTCATATTTTCAAGACAGAAAGTGAGACAAGAAATTCTGAAATGAGTGTTAGTAAATTTCACCTGAATTGAATCTACTCCTAATTCCTTTATGAGCACAGTTTTGATTTATTACTGTCCTTCCCAAATTTCTGAACTTTACAAAGGATTTATGAGCTGTCTTTTAAAGAATTCAGACAAGAAGGAAGTGTAGCAACAATGACTATAGCAGATGTATTTTCAGCGATTGCTGTGTAATTTTTTAAATATGATCAGTATGGTAATTGAAGAGGGTTGTGCTTGCTCAAATCTTTTTATCTTTTTGTCTAAATTCATTACTCTTGCAGTGATGTGTATGATTCAACAGCACATTTTCATAGGTAGAAAGAAGACTTGCAGCAGAGAGTGTATTCAGAGGCTCACTTTTAAATATCCATCCTGCTTTACCCCTAAGGAAAGAGCCAGTAGTACACATTATGTAGGATGCTGGGTGGATGGCAAAGCCATTCTGGTTGCAGTGGCAAAGGGGAAAACTCTCTGCCTTTGCTAGGAGTGAAGCCCTGCTGTATCCGGTCACTACATTATATGGCCACACTTTCACAATTTTGCCTTTGCCCTTGTCTTTCTGTCATCTCTTATAAATTCGTAGGTAATCTTTTGAACAATTTATGACCTTCCCATGAGTCGCTTGCTACTCACATTCTGAAAGTTTCTGTCTCCAGCTTTCAGTGCTATTTTTATAATTTGGGGGATCATTTTACATCTCTTCACAAAACACCAGTAACTATGTATTGTACAAGTAGATTCTAAACAGTTCTGACGATGGCGTGTAACGCTTATGATTACTGGATATTTTTTTTTTACTTTGTCCATTGTCTGATATTCTAAGGAACACAACACTTTGGAAACTGGATCTGTTTCCATCCTCAGGCGAAGGGGAGGGTCTAAGACACCTACTCTGTTGGTCCCTTAGAAAGAGCTCACCTCAGTTACTGGACCAAGGTCAGTTTTGGCTCTTTGTGAAGATCTGAAAATCTGTGGTCTAGTGGCCAGAGTTCCTGGCTACAGATCCAGAGGTCCCGGGTTCGATTCCCGACGCCTGCAGATTTTCTGAGAAGTAGTGGGTCTGGAAGGGGGCTCACTCAGCCTCATGAGGATAATTGAGGAGCTATTTCAAGGAAATAGCGGCTCCGGTCTAGAAAACCGAGATTGATGGCCATGGTGATCCGTTGCGCTGAACATGTGACACCCTCCATCCACTAAAGTTGGCACTAACTTCGTCGACAAACGGTGGATGCTCGGTCAGTATAGTTTGCTTGCGGACTGTAGGCCACGGAATTTGTTTTGCTTTTTGTTGATGTTCCTATGCTTCACTCATATCCAACTCTGTGACAGATAACAGAGACATTGTACACAAGTTCTGTTGCATTAGCGTCCAGAAGTTGATCTGCCGTATAGGAGATGGCAGTAGATGCTTGAAATCTATAGTGAGACACTTTCAGGTGCTCAGGGCAGGAAAGAGTTCATACAAAAAGAATGCTGGCTTCTGGGATATGATGCCAAATAGCCTCATAAAAGTTAATTGATGTTCCTCCAAAGTGTTGGGTGTATTTCTAGTGGATTACACCATATAGTGTTCCAGAAGGTAGCACTCTTCATGAACACAATGTGGAAACCTCAAATTCAATGGACGTGAGTAGTTCTAGAGAAGCTGCCCTTCGCTCGGGTACTGAAGAATGTCTCAAACTTTTATGGATCCTGAAGCTCATTATGATGTTCATAAGAGTCTTCTACTGTTCCCTATTCTTTGCCAGAACAATCCAGTCCATACCACCCAACCTGTTTTTTCCAAGATCAATCTTAATATTCTGCCATGTAGACCCATTAATGCTTTGTAGTTAGAGGATTGCTGGAGTTCAGTCATGAGCTGTTGCTGTTAGAAGCCGGTAGCACAGGCCAGGGACAGTTCGGGAATCCACAGGAAGGGGAACGTCCACTGTTAGAAGCCGTTAAAGAGCAACGGCAGTAAAGGCATGAATATGGGCACTTGTGTATATTTGTGTGTCTGTTTTTGTTTGTGTAACGGTGAACTGTAAAATGTCACGAGCTTTATCAAAGAATCCAATAAATCTGGTCGTCAATCCAAAACCCGCGTATAGTCACACTGACATGACAATATTATCCTCTCACTAAGGTGTAGGTCTTCTTAATGGTCTCTTTTCTGCTGGATTTCCCACCAAAACTATATATGCATTTATCTTCTCCCCGTGCATGCTACATGACATGCCCATCTCATTGTAAGCCTCAAATCCGGTGTCAATGAAAGCAGTGACGATTCGTGGCTACAGTTGTAGGTTCATGAGAAATGTAGTGGCTGTTACAAACTGTGCCACTTGGCTTTAGTAGTAATGCATTAATGGTGTCTTTTCTTGATTTCAGCAAATAACATTACAGGCATTGCAAAGTCTTCAACCTGGAACACAAGGCCACTTGCTCCTGAAGACTGAGAATGGGCAGTATCAGTTGCTACGTGTGGGGCCAGCACCTACAACACCAGGTGCGGCCATTGCTCCAAGCAGTGCTGCAGCAGCAGCAGCAACTTTACCTGCTGGTGCAACTTATCGGCTTCAGTCGGTTCCCTCTGTAAGTAGGTTATTAACAGATATTGGTTGTCAGGTTGCCGTGACTGATGTGGTACCTAGTATTTGTAAGAATATTTTTCTGTGTTCGTGTAATAATTTTGCATTTACAACTTGTACTTATTCTGTCAAGTAGTGCACAGCTTCAGCCAGTTTCAAAACCATAATCCACTCTAAACTGACTGAAATGTGCGGTCAGGTGGAAGAAAAATGCGGAACATTGTGATTGGCTTATCTAGTTATTTGAAATTTTTGCATCCAGTTCACCCATGCATCAAAGTGGCACCTCTGTGTATGGGGTTTCATTTTTTCTTCCCATTTCTAATTATTAGTGGTTATTTTTGGATTAATCCATTATGGTCTGCTTAATTGTTGTGCTACTTTTGTTGTCGGTAACATATTAATCTCCACTGTGAAAACCTAAAGATTAGAATTATGTGATTGTTCTGTTTCAGAATATAAGCACATTGCTTCAGATGTATGTTGAGATATGTTTCAGTCCTATTTTCCTAAGATCTGATTTTCAGTATTAGGCAACCTCTGTGGTCTAGTGGTCAGAGTTCCTATCTACAGATCCAGTGGTCCCGGGTTTGATTCCCAGCTCTACCAGATTTTCCGAGAAGTAGTGGGTCTGGAACAGGGTCCACTCAGCCTCGTGAGGATAATTGAGGAGCTACTTGAATGAAAAAGTAGAGGCTCCAGTCTAGAAAACTTAGATTACTGGCCATGGGAATCCGTTGCACTGACCATGCAACACCCTCTATCTGCAAAAGTTGGCACTAACTTCGATGACAAGCTGCGGTTGCTCAGTTGGTATAGTTCACTTGCAGACTAAGAAAGTCACGGAGTTCTGTGTCAGTATTGGCCTCCCATCTTCTTCCAAAGTCGTCCATGAGGCTGCTTTCCTAGATATTTGTTAAACAAAATTCCATTTCCAAAATTGCTGTCATCTCTTATGTTCATTCAATCGTAACCTCGGAGATTTCACTGCGCTAACTACTAGTGAATAGTGTAAATCATGGCATTCCTTGTTACATAATACCTTGAATTTCCAACTTCATCCAGTTTAACACCACATGTTTTCTTTGTGGTGCTGTCATTTGTATGAAATGTTAAACCATGAGTTAGGTACATCTGGTAGCGTCTGCTGTAAAACTGATTGATGGTTGTTGTGAGGTTATGAAGTACAAATCAGAAACAGTGAACGGGAAGTGGTTATGTCTGAATACTAGAGTCACAAATTTTTTAATTTTAAGCTTACCCTGGGGCACCATCAAAGGAGTTATAGACTGTGTCACATACATAAACGTACTGTGATATTTGGAAGGTACTTGATTTAAATCTTGCCCAAGAACTAGATTTTGTGTCCAAGTTCTCTTGCGGCTTTCCTGCTTTACACATATCATAAGATTAGTGTCTTAAACCTTTATGCTTGTGTTGAAGGCTTCCTATGTTGTAAGTCACTTTACAGGAACATGTATATGTGTAGTGTGTGTGAAAATACACCAAAATCGCTGCCATCTCTCTTGGTCAAAGAATTGGACTGCATTTATGTTGGAACTGTGAGCAGTAGCTTCATTTTTTAAGATAAATAATTTAGAGTGAATAGCCACATGGCAGTAAACACATAAACAAAAAAAACAACTCCATGGTTTTAGTCCGCAAGTTAACTATACCGTTCGAGCGACTGCCACTTGTCGGTGAAGTTAATGCCAACTTTAGCATCTAGAGGGTGTCGCGTGGTCAGCACAACAAATCCCCATGGCCATTAATTTCGGTTTTCTAGACTGGATTCGCTATTTCCTTTAGATAGCTACTCAATTATCCTCACGAGGCTGAGTGGACCCCATCCCAGACCCACTACTTCTCAGAAAATTTTGTAGCACTAGGAATCAAACCTGGACCTCTGGATTTGTAGCCATGAACTCTGACCACTAGACCACAGAGGCAGTAAACGCAATAGCTAGTAAAATAACCTACTAGAATAAAGTGATGCATAAAAGCTCTGGTAGGAATTACAAATTGTATCTGACTCCCTTGAGATTTTAGTGTTAACAAAGAGCATTAAATGACAAAATTCTAATTCCTGCCACAGTGAATGGTAGTTCTGATATTGACATGAGGAAAACCTCGATAATTAATTTTGGAGATACTACCATATCAGATGCGTATGATAACTCATTGTTGACGTACCACTCACATAGAAACAACAGTATTCACCACCTGTAAGTAATAGACATATTCTGGTATTTTCTCATAAGACTTTTTTGTGTGTGTGTATTTTCCAGCATAGTGCAGTCACCGTAGCAACTACAAGTGCTGCTGCAGTTGTTCAGCCCCCTCAGNCACACACACACACACACACACATCAGAAAATATAATATTGTATTTATCTAACTGAAATGTATTCTTAGATATAGTGTTCCACTTTCAGCCCATAGAATACTTTTATAGGAAGAAATATTTTTCATTATTCCTCCATCTTCCCAGATTGACCCCAGATACAATGTACGCTGTTTGCTAAATGGTACACAATCATTGGTCACCTCATCATACCTCATTAGTTACATAGTGGCATCATATGCAATTATTGAGAAAGGAGGTATCTGTATGCCAGTAGTCTAATGGGTACAGTTATTGTAAACACTATAAGAAAGTAAATACAAATTGATTAATATAATTTAAATCAGTATTGGCTCTGATACTGTACCTGAAAAGATCAGCTTTTTTTCAGTCTCTACAAAGTATCAATCCACATTCACAAAGTAAGTGATGTCTGCTAACTGACATACCTGAAAATGTGGATCGAACTAATTTTTAAATATCTTTTATATAGTGCCATGTGATATACTGTACAGTACATATGTGATGCTTTCCCATAGGTCCTATCTATGTAGATTCTGGTGTGGGATCACCAAGAATGTTCCCATTAATGTGTCTAGAACATCATTGAAATTATATCGTCATCAGATATTGACTGTTGTTACGCCATTAGAAAGTTACTAGATTCTGTTATGAACATATGAGGGGAACCAGAACTGCCATACCCGAGACTGTGATGAACACTCAGAACTTTGTTCTGTAAATTTGCGTCTTCTGGGTGTGACATACCATGATAGGTGTTTCAGACAGGCATTAGATGTCTGGTGCATCTGGTGGTGTGTGATCTAAACAGTTTGAAGGATGGGGAAATATGGTTCCTCTAAAAATGAGGTTCTCTGATAAAGTATGCTGCAGCATATTTATCTTATGAATGGGAAGACTGTTCCTTAGTAAGAATCTTGTTCTGCTGTGCCAATTTTAGACTGGCAGGTCTTGCATTATTGCCTGTGATCATGGTAAATGACAGACCTGTCTTCTCATCAGAGAGGGCACCCCACATCGACAAAAACCGCAGCAGTCGGATAGTAACAAAAGTCTGGTCTTGGGCCTCAGATTGGGGCTTTGCACCAAAACTGATTGGCTGACTGGCCGTCGTTCGTAATGTGACTTTCACTTTGACTTGTCTAGTTAGTGGCGGCACTGTGCAGCAGTGTAAAGGAACAGCAGCAGCCTTATCCATCCTCAGTTGCACAGGCTTCCCCCACCCTTGAGATAAAAAATAGCTGTGCCTACCTTGAGACAACCAACAAATACCAAGTCAATTAGTTCAGGATCCTAATGTATACAGTTTGTCTCTGAATGACACGTTCAAAGTAGTTGCAATGGTATTTCAGCAGATCATGACAGAGCTCAGTGGGGCTAAGTCACAAGAAGGCAGAACAATGGCCATCACTAGAATTGCATTAAAACTCATGAAGCAAAATGGCTACTAGGGTTCATAGGCCCCTCAAAGTTGTAGTGTTCAGTGTGACTTGACAAAAGACTGTGTAAAATGCTGACAAGTAAAATTATAAATATAGATGTCATGTACTGCTGACTGTGACTGCAACAAACAACAGACCTGTCCTCTCGTCAGAGAGGGCGCCCTACATCGACAAAACCATGGCTGTCTGAGAGGAATAAGTATCTGGTCTCAGGCCCCAGATGGGACCAGACACCAAGACTGACTGGCCGACTGATCATCAGATGTAATGTGACTTTGTCTTAGTTCTGAGTAGGGAGTGAGTTACTGTTTTGGGCTAAATTTGAGAGGGTCACCGGCCAGCAAGGGCAGAAGCCGTTAAGCACAAAACCTTATTGCATGCTATAGTGAACTGTAAAGAGCGTGAATTAGTGATAGTGTTATAATTCTTTATAGTTATGTGTCCAGTAACCTCCATTAAATCCAGATAGCAATCCAAACTTTGTGCCTAGTCACTTAACACGTGACGGTATCTTACAAAGATCTCATTTGGAAAATATTGCAAATTGAAGAAGTAATTTGGTCATATTAGAACCATTTGTTGATAAATAGCAGTAAGTTAATTTGCATACTTGTTAATAAAGTACTGTCTCTTGCAGCGGCATGCAGTGGACACTACCAAAGAAAAATGTCGGAAGTTCCTCGCAAATCTTCTGGAACTCTCCAGTCGAGAACCAAAGTCTGTGGAGAGGAATGTTAGAACGTTAATTCAGGAACTGATTGATACCAAGGTGGAGCCAGAGGAGTTCTGTGACCGCCTGGAACGGTTGCTCAATGCTTCCCCACAGCCCTGCCTTATTGGATTTCTCAAGGTGGGTGCACTGCTCAGATGCTCACTGTGTCTATTTCCATGAAGAATTGTACACAAATAATAACTTTATTTCTTAGATTCAGATGCCATTGGAACCTTTAAATTCACTCATAATTAAATATATTTTTTAACTTTATAGCTAACATCTTGTTGTGTGTATAATATCTTATGGTTATGACTGTCAACACAACAATAAAGCATAATGCAAAAAGTATAAAAGTATTAATTCCACAAACTATTGTCTGCTAGTTGGTGTTCTTAAGTGTTAATGCTTTTATACTTTTTACATGCAGACTTTTAATTTTAAATTGCAACTGTTTGTAGTGAGTTTTATTAGAATGCTGGAACTTAGATCTATGCATACTCTGCAAGTAAGTATTTGCTCACGACAACAGACACCTGTTACATAATATGGATCCATATCATGACAGTCAACTTTAATAACTTGAGTTATAGACCATAGACCTAAATTATAGATCAGTGTAGCACAAGGAATCAGTGCTTATATTAAATATGTAACACCTGTTCTTGTCTTCTCATGAAGATATTTTTGCTTTATTGTTGTGTTGACAGTCATAACTGTAAGATAAACATATTTTGTTATAGATACTGACAAAAATTATGACTGGTAAATATTTAATATCCGAGGAGTGTGTGGGTTGAAGGTGTAATAAGAGGTTTTAGTCATGGTAATACCTTCATGTTGTTAGTGGCCATGATCTTTAATTTAATTTCAGTTAATCACTCTGTTACTAGAGCACAGAAAACACTGTGCTACTCTCTTTCCTGTTCAAGCTGCTAGTCACTAGTTGGAGTGACATTTGCATTAATTTAGTGCCTTATCAGAAAGTCTCATCATTGTAGGTATGAAAATTTCACTGAACTGTGAAAAGAGATCTGAATATTTGTTGTTTCTGTAATAAAATTTGATTTAGCCACAGCCTGAAATTAAATGAATTCTATGATTGGTTTTATGTTCTCAGAAAGATTGACATTTCTCATTTATTTTCAGAGGCATTAAAACAGTTCCTTTCTCCATCATATCAGAGTACTGTTTACAGAACTGATTGACATATCATTGAAAGTTGCAAGTTTTCAGAATTTGTTGTGTGGTCATGATATAATTAATTTAATAACTAAGAAATCATGGGGGCACACAGTAGTGTAGTTGGTTGAGGCACTATGCTACAAGCCGGAAGGTCACAGGATCGAATCCCGTTGAGGTGGATTTTCTCAATTTACCTAATCCTTCAGTCACACTATGGCCCTGAGGTCAACTCAGCCTCTAACAGAAATGCTTACCAGGAATATTCTTAGAATATTCTTGGGGATAAAGCACGGCCGACGCATAAGGCTGACAACCTTAATGCCATCTCTGATCTGATTATCTAGAAAATGTGGGAACCTCATCATCTCAACCCTATGGGCCCCCACGGCCTGTTACAGGGGTACCGTTACTTACTTACTTTTTACTAAGAAATCGCTAAGAAAATGGAAATGCACTCAAATTAGTCATGTCTCTGTAATTGTAATTTACTGTAATATAGGAAACCATAATAATAATAATAATTTGTTCTTATAAATTCTGTAATGACGTTTATGATTACTTATTCTGTCTGGACTGTGATGCATTGTAAATGCTTGTTACAGAAAAGCTTACCTCTTCTCCGCCAGTCACTGGTTGCAAAGGAGCTTGTGATAGAAGGTATTCGCCCACCCCCTCATCATACCGTTGTTTTTTCACTACCGAACTCAGCAACAGTGGTGCCACAGTTACAGGTAAGTTGGCATTACATGTTCTCAGAATACATGTTCCAAAGATGGAATTAAGCATGGCAAGAAGAATTCCTTACGATTTATAGTCGTAGTGCATGTCATAACAAAGCAGTGTCATGGTGGCTCATAGGTACGACTGGAGTCTCAAACACCTGCCATAACACCTCTTTTATTACACCCCTTTACTATTTTATGTACTGTAATGGGTTGGCTGTATATAGTATATATAGTGTATAACATATGATGATGAGCGGCTTAGCCTTTACAGCAGACACAGTGACATATATATTGTTGTAGTCTGTATAGTGTATTGTTGCAGTGAACCTTTGAGGTCCATAGAATTTTGGAATATTTTGACTACTTGCAAGATTAGCAGCTTCTGAAGGACTATTCTCTGCAGAATTAGTGTAGGCCTGTGTGAAGCAACAGGAGAGTGAACTGTGTTTGTGCAGACTGCAGGTTATGTTCTGCTTGCTTCATGTAATTTTATTGTGATAACATATATATATAT